AAATATATTCAAATTACGTTCAGTCTCAGAAGAGACGAAAAAGCGGAAGTAGGAAGTGTAAGCATCCAAAAATCGTTCAAAATAAACGAAGCTCGAAATAAATAACAGAATATACGTATTTTAATAGTAAATAGTATTTTAATACTCATTGTGCTCTTAGATGTAAATGATATGAAAAAAATAAATATGAAAAAAATATATACAATGGGCAATCTTCTGCAACTATAGCTGCTCTCAAAAGCTAAAGGCGTTGATTGGTTCTCCCAGGTTTTCTGTGAATGCGAGCTGTAGCGAAATGCTCATAAATAAACTTTTTTCAATCTTATATATAACTCTTAGCTTTAACATAAAAGTATAAAAATAATTAATAAATCCAAAGGTATTCCTGAGATAAAGAATGATTTGTAAGTAAAATAACAACAGCCAGTCCTTTTTGCCTTCTGGCCTTCTCTCTTCTCTAAAACTTTCCACTTCAATAATAGAACTTATCTCGCTAATGTAATGTGATATAAACAAATTTGAAAATTTACGTCAAGTTTTCAATATATTATTTTTCAGTTTAGTTTGCTTCGCTCCGCTAAAATTGTTTTCAAATTTTAATTTCTTCGTCGCATAATACTATATCAACAAATCTACATGTCTCACAATATAGCTAATAATTCCAAGCACATTCAATGAAGCTCATTCGTTGCCTTGAAGTTTTAATCCAAACGTAACTATTTTCTGGACCCAAATTGCACTGCGGACTCGACAAGTTTGCGCCCCGCTCAGCTTTTTGTCGGGCGGATCGATCGCACGATGCGTGTCAGTGAGCCGTGCGAACAACATTGCGTCATCACTTCGAATATTTTGGACAGGATTATCCGGATTAAAACTTCTGCTTACTTGGATATATTCGATATAAATATTTATTGACCAGCGACGAAAAAAATGTGGCATAAGCTTCTTTGAGTCGTTGGAATAATAATCGTGGTAGTAAACTAAAAAAATATTGTGTATTCTAAATAAATTATATTCGTTTATTTATTGAAAAATACAAAAAATGAAGAGGCTATTTGAATAAAATAAAAGACGAAATTTAAATTCCCTCGCAAAAAGGAAATCCAAAAAGTTCATGAAAAAATTAGTTCTAAAATATAAATTGCACAAATTTTATAGCATTCATGTAGTACCGAAAAATTTCCACTGACTTGCTTTTATATCACCTAAAAGTTGGATATTGATTCAGAAGCAAAGTAAACGTTTAAAGAAGGGAAAATAAAAATTCATTAAAAAATATCACGCAGAAATAAGAAGCAACAAAACCTCTTTTCCAAGTCACCTGCAGCCCCATATTTGTGTTTTGATTAGGAAAGCTGCGACGTCAATCATTGTGTGTGCCAAACGAGACTAAGGCCTCATTATCAATTTTGCAGGATTTTAATAGAACAAGCTTTGAAGGCGAGCATAAGCCCATTAAAACCGTTGTAGTCTTTGGAATCAGGGCTTGGGGTGGGCCACGAGTCAGCAATGACATTAGCATGCATAAAGCAGCTGTCACTGATAAATGGGACTCGATAATCATTCAGATTGATCAGCATAATGCAACCTGAGGCCATATTGCAGCACTCTAGCTCACAGCCGCACAGAAGCAAGCGATTAACAATGGTCCTAAACCCTGAAAAAAGTTTAAGATTTCAGTGAATTGCTTGCGGTAGGCAACAAAGAAACCCGAATTCAAAGCGAAAATGAGGAAAATAATTTGGGGTTATTGTTCGAAATTCCTGCGGACACACACGCAGTGGTAAAAAAATTATACGACGTATGCTTCGAACTACAAATAAATTATACTGGGTGATTAGGCCATCACCGACGAGTTTAAAAATTAAATTGTCTTAATCACATTGGAATTTGGATCACTAGGAGTGCCGAAAATATTAATAAATTCCTATACAGACAAACTATTAAAAACCAAGACATACAGTCCTGCATCACCATCTAATCCCACAAAGAATTAAATAGATTCTGTAGTAATGAAAATGAATAATTGGTAATTATAAAAAAATCGACATCATCGCTGCCATTCCATCAAAATAAGTGAAAGTAATTTCGTCATTGCCGAAATAAACATGGATGGCAACCTTGACCAACAATTGCAGTGCTGCAACTGTACCTACAGAAAGCCTTTTTTGGCTTGTCTCGTCGGTTGTTTCCCTCCTTAACAAGGTAGTGCTGAACAGATGGCCAGACCCAACATCCTTTACCGTCATCGTAAAGCCGACTTAAGGGCAGGCATGGGCTGCCTTTCAGCACCACCCTGGAAACACCCTGAGCAATTCTTCAAAAATTGTAGCGGCGCGAGCGAAATTTTGCTTGTGAACACGCGTCTCGCCGGGGCTGCTTTATGCGTGTACGTGATGGATTGTTTTGCTCCGAAAAAGATGAAGAAATAAACTGAGTGCTTGAACTTATGAATGCGATGGAAGTTCTCGATTTAATTTGGACGTCGGAAATGTTTTAGCAGTAATTAGCAGTATAAGCATTTCTGAATTCAAAGCAATGATNTTTAGCAGTAATTAGCAGTTTAAGCATTTCTGAATTCAAAGCAATGATAATTTTTTGAAGACAACGCTTGATGTTAGGTAAACATGCGATTTAACATAGGACAAATTAATTCGGCATTTTTTTAATTTAGAGTACTTGCGGTATGATTTATGGAGCACCACTCAAAGGTTTATTATGTTTCGATAGCTTTTTGGGCTCGATGAGGCAAAAAAAAAATACTCGAAAATCAAACATTGTAATAAAAAATCAGCACAAAACTAAGTAGCGAAGATTTAATTTCGACTTATATTGGTCGAGCTATACAATTCTTCATTGCATTGATAAATAATAACGAGGAACTACGCAACTCAATGGTAGCCATAGAAGAGCAAAATGTTGATTTACGTTGACTGCAACCCTCGCCGAGTTCAAGGATCGGTCACACTTGGCCATGAGAATTGGACTGAGTTCAACTCGTATCAGATTCGAAGTGTTTGTAATCGAGAGCATCCACTCAAAATCACTTCAATGCATCGCGCTGTATCGTCACAATTAGAATAATGAACTTGCACGAATAATAATAGAAATAATAATAATGAACTAGGCAGAATAAATAACCACCAAATAAATGTGAATATTATACTCAACGATTTCTTGGGTGATTCAAGATATAAAAGTTTTTGGCAATCAAATGGAGCCGGAATAGTTTTAATGGGAAAGGAAATAAATAAAAAATAAAATATGCATGAGGAAAGGCAAAAGTTTCCAAAATATAATGATGTTTAATTCTAATCTGCGTTCTTAACAATTAAGATTCTATTGAAAATATTCCATCATTCAATCTTCTCATTATATTCCTTCAACTTAATGGCGTATAACAAGAGTAAAATGAGCCATCAATTATCTAATATTGGAAAAATAAAAATGCTAGAATAATTATTAATATTTTCTCCAACGTCAGCTACAATAGAATTGCATTTTCCCCACAATAAATTAGACTGAGATTTAGTACATTTCATGTTACTTTAGACTTTAGAATGATATGACGCGTAAGGGTTAAATTCTTTATCCTGCTCAAATATAAATGAAACAGCACTCGAATTTTCGCATACCGTACGACGATAAATCAACTCAAGTGAGCACTATACGGAATTTACACTCATCCCTAAGTGCTAATCACTGTAAAAATCTTCGGTTTATCGACGGCCAGCCCTCAACCTCTACGTATAAACGTCTGGTAACACTTAAAATAAATTTGAAACAAGACTAAGTTGACGTACAAGACATTTGTTGTAGAGAGCGCAGTCGTAATTTCATACGATTATTTACGCTATATTTTAAAGACGAAATGAAATTTGTTGATACTGTATAAATAATTTAAAGAGAGTCCCGTGTTTCTGAGGTAATCCCTTCCTTAGTAATGAGTTGAGAAATAAGTATGAATTAAGATGAAATTTCTAAGCCAATATTTGTATATATTTATTAGAGGAACATTCAAGTAATTAAAAAGATTTGTGACTACTTTATGACTTAAATATTGAACATACGATACATCAATATAATTGAACAAATTTCCATGATATTGTGTCTTGATAGATAACTTAATGCTTGGCTGGGTGTTTTCCCCATTTTTTTTAAGAAAATAAAATATATCCGATGGGCATTCTTAGAGGCAAGATTGAAGACGTGCTGATGCACTCGAAAAACGATGGAATAAAATTTTAAATGTACTCATGAAAAATTCGTGTTGAATATTCAGGGAGTGAGAAGAGCTCTTCTACCGACAATTGTTGAATGAATTTCTTCACAACTACTATTTTACAAATGAATTCGAAATGCATTACATGAACCATCCAATCCCAGATAATGACTACATTACCACATAACAAAAATCTGAGAGACATTCAATTTTTATATCCGTTTCTACTAATATTTCGGGGGAATTAAAGAATAACCAATTTCCCAACGGTGTTCGAATTCCATATCAATGCTGCACGGACTGGCCTGAGCCAGTGCAATGGACACCAAACTTCAACCGAACTCCATAAAGGAGCCCCATTGGACGCATTAAAAAATCCATTCGCGTTTGATGGTGTGTGTATTGCTCCCACCTTCATATGAACCTTTCAAACAAAACGAGTCTCGAAGCATTCCTATTCTCTCTTTTTAGCATTCACTGTTATTTTAATTTAATTTGAGAGCAGTTCATTGTGAATTGCAATCAGAAACGTAATACAACATCTAAAGGAGACCAATGAAATATCAAATTATCAATTATCACAGAAGAGAATTTCAGAAAAGTATAATCTTACTTTGTTGTCCCAAGCAAACTAGTATACGCATTATGCGCTGTTACTCACAGTTTCACAAGAGATGACACTTAAATAAAACTGCATCTTATTATTTGGCTCCAAATGAAAACATCAGCGTTCTAATTCATGCAATAATACCAGGATCGTCATACTCACAAATCTCACCTTTTGCTTCTTCCAAAGGGGGAAGTTCTTCAGGAGAAGACATCGTTGGAAGCACCATTAGTAGAATTATTATCAGCATTAATTTTATCGGCTTTAAATCTTCTTCACTTATCTTCAGACATCGTCGGACGATGCTGTTCGTCCAAGGTGACGAATATACTGAATTGCTACATATTTCTCGAGCATATCTTCTTTGGTCAAACTCATTGTTTTCTTGGCTAAAAAATTTTCCACAATATTTGTACACCGTACACATGCCCTGATCTTCAACTCTGTCCAACATCGGGGCCTTCGAATTTCTTTCAGAGTTAGTAATTTTCAGACATTCAAAAAATGAGTTCATCGTCATTGTTTTTGTGATGAATAATTTTGGAGCCTGATTCCATTTCAACCACTTTTCGAAACATCGTGAAGAACTCGTCCATAAGAACTTGTGAAAGTTAGATAAATTTAGTTTTTAATTGAAACACATGAAATTCGAATGCTAATATCATTTGCCTTTTCATCATTATCTGTTTCTGAAAAAGAAAATTAAGTTCAGCGGAGGAAATATTTTTCAAGTTGAGAAATGTTAGAACTATATATATGCAACAAACAATAAATTTATAAAATAAACACTCATAATTTTAGCCTTCATCGCTAGCGCAGAGAACCATTTTATTGGGATTAAAAAGTGAAAGGGCTTACAAATTGTAGGATTTCAGTGATTAACAATCAATAAAATCACATTCATTTGAGTGATGCAAAAGATAGATCGACCAGGGATCTCAGAATTAGACATTGCAATTGTAATACGGCAAATTACAGGAAACCAATACATTTTCTCAAGAGTTATTTACTAGCAAATTTCTCAAGTGTCTCTTCAAGTTCATGACGTCGTCTGCAAATTACGATGTCTGAGCAGAAAACTCGTGTATTTTTTCAGAATGTGTCGGCCTCTAGTTTATACAGCTCTTCATAGATTGAAAAATTTTATTTGTATGAAATTTTCTAATTGGTTTCAGCAGAGCCATAAGACATGCTACTGCATAGTTCAATATTAACTATCATGTTTGAAAATCAATGAATTAAGAAAGGATATTATTATCTAAAATCTGTTACTTGACAGATCCCGCTTGCAAGAAGCTGCCTAAAGTCGCGATGCAAGCTCTCGAATGCTTAGGAGAAATAATCATTTATACCAGCATCATTTATACGAGTTCTAGATTCCGTCATATGCGTTTTAAGGTAACAGCCCATAAACATTGCTTCCGAACAAGCCTGGGCTTTGTTGAGATCAATTTAATGCCAAAGCAGGAGAGATGCGACGGTCTTCTTTAAAGTGAAGGCGTCATATGACCTGAACCCAAAATAATCGAGAAAAAACGACGGGTGTAACGCAGATGAAATCTTCAGTAGGATTTCAGCATTATGATTTATTCCTGGAATCTGTGAAGAAATAAGATGAATTAGTCTTCAGTTTTTATGGTAATTGTTATTCTACGCTGAGATATAGGAATTGGATGCAGGAGAAGGCAATGAATTCCGACTCGTTGTCAACTGACAAAAGTTAGGGAGGCAGGAATAATTGAATTATTATTGTCATTCGATTGGAAAATAAACTTACTAGAAATACGATCAAACTTAACAGTTGTATACTTGTTTTTCAGCATATTTTCAATTTCCGTGATTTTAATGTAATATATAATATCAACATGCCTAAGAACAGAGCGAGAATAAGAAAAATATATATAAATAATGAAAAATAGAGTAATTATACATCCAAATCATGCGTGAATATCTCAATATCAAACTTTGTGGTTTCATCCTAAATTATATATCTGGCTTGCAGCTTGTTATGATGCATCCGTCTCAGCCATGGCAAAACCTGGAACAAAAAGAACAAGAAATATCAGTTTATTCGTAATGGTTGGAAAAAATTAGCATTGATAGCTAGAAATAGTTTAGCTTTTTTCGAGAACACCCATTGAGGTCATCGTTAGCAACATCATTACCCGAAAATAAGATAATATAATTCATCTACAATAGCCCTGTTTTATCACGCGACACAGCTGCTAATAGATCGTAATTTGCATAACTAATGTAAGAAAATTATTAAAATTGACTTAATCAGAACTCGCATGTAAACAAATTACACCCACTTGCGTTTGTTATTTTCATAAATATATATAATCCAATGTTATTGCACGACATTTATCAGAGGGCTGGAACTAACCAATTCCGTAATATTTTTACCCCTTAGATCATTATCAGATGTATAAATTTTATACATCTCTCATTTGTAATAGCTGAATTTTATACAAAGCTAAAATTTAAGATTTGCAGTTGCTGTAGCTTTTAATCATTCTTATTAGACATTCATTCAAGCACGGATAATGATAACGTATAAAGATTATTTATAACCATCCAATTACAAGAAAATAGAATAAATCATTACACGTTGCTAGAGCTCACAGGACCAAGTTAGGCAAGGAATTTGAGCCAAAGGGGTTCATAGACTGCAAATATGACCGAAAAGCTTCACTAGTGTACTCGTACTTTCATCTCCAGTAATATTTTACGTAGATATTTTGCCAGCAACGCACACGCAATATTGCTCAGATGAAGACCACCACCACCAGCCGGCTGGCTACAGCCTTAAAACTTTCCACACTGATGCTCTCAACATTTTTTTCTTCCGTGCGAGCGCCACGAAGTTTCGAGGCGGTCTGATGAAACTCGTCCTAATAATTGAACAAAAACACGTACCGCTCCTTACCCGAGCTCAAGTACGCTCAAAATTTGCCACAAAGCTAACATAATTGAAATTCATCATCATAATCTCGAATACTTTTACCTTGGCTCACGAGTAAACTCGGACAGGCAAGTATGAACACCAAAGGTGATTAAGTTAAGAGATGAACTATATAACAATTTTGAATAATATCACAAAATGAAGAAAATGAAACCCTCGTAAATGTTAACGGATAACTTAAATGATAATATTGTTATAGATGGTTGTGTCATAGAGTGACATAACAACTTATTTTGAACATTTTTATTTGAAATGAAAGGTAAATGAATTATGAAAAATAAAAATAAACTCCTATCAAAGAAATTAGAATCTAACGCACTTGTTTTTTTTTATGTTAACCACTCTTAGTTGAATTTAGGCTTGATGTTCTTTGGCTATAGTTTATGATTTTTCTCTGTATTTCTGCTTTTTTCTTCAGCCGCTTACAACATTATAACATAAACTAACCATTTATAACATTTAAGTATTAATTTTTATGCAATTATAAATGGTACAATTTCGCTATCAATAGGAGTGACGGATTCCAATAAGTGAGAAAAAGTGAAGTCGAAAAACCAAATTCACTATTCATTATTGCAATCTATCGTTCCTTCAATGTGCGAGATTAAGTCTTCGTAAAATTCATAAATTCCTGCAGCTTCACAGGAAAAAGCTTCGCAGCAAAATGTTCAAGTTTAAAAACATTATATCTAGCGGGTTAAAAGGGGGAAAAGTCACACCCAGAAGAAATTCGATATCATTGCACTGCAAATAACAAATATAATGTTCTTGACAACATACTGTATATTGAAATTAACACTATTACTTTAGTAAACAGAACAAATATATCAATGCAATGAAAATATAAGGTTTAATGTTCATGTAACTATATATTGAATTGAATACTGCAATTAAAAAAATTTAACTATGTCAATGATGAAAGCATCAGAGAAAGAATGACTCGAAAAATTTTAATTTCTTCACATGAACCAACATTTTTTTTTAAATCATACAATATCAGCACTCAATGCTTACGCAAGCGTTCAGCACGAACAATGTCGAGCGGAGACCAGCGACCTGAAGTAGCTCAATCCTTCCCTATATTGAAGCGAGTTTGGGATCGGCAAAACGTTACCCGATTCCATTTCATTTGCAAGGCACTTCTTCATCTTTGACGCCTGGAGCGAAGTGGCTGGACAGAGACAAAGTAGATACTTCGGAGCAGATGCATTGGAGGGACCCTTGGTGGCATCAAATTCCTGCCTGCGAATGCATAGCAAGGAGGTAACATATTAAAAATGGTATCTTTTTGTGGTTAATTGTGAGCTTTAGTAGTGAACAATAATATTTTGTAGTAAATTGCAATCTTTTGTAGTAAATTGTATTAAGTCATTTGGAATACCATTCTATAAAATAATTTTCCAATCGAATGTAAATGCAAATTACGGCAAGTAGATTAAGTTGAGTGAAATTGCTAACAAAGTTAGAAACATATTTTGTATCACTAATTATATAAACTTTTCAGTCGTTCTATTCTGTATTGATCACATGATGCAGCTCAAATATCTATATAGAAATTGGTGATAGTTCTTCTTCATTAATTTCAATCGACCTATTCACAAAATAGTTTCGATAATTAAAATGATTATCGAGACTTCAAAACGACTTCAAAACTTCAAAAAGTTATAAGGTTCAAATAAACTTAGTTGAAATTGAATATCGCTTCACTGGTTTCAATACAAACCAGCTAAGAATTTTTTATTATAAAAATCAACAAATTCCCTTACCCGTAGATTAAGTGAAACTATTTAAATTTTCTTCCGACACGACGTGGGAAATGCACTCAATGCGCTTCGGTTGATTAACGTTCAAGTGTATTCAGCAACAGCGAATAATGCGAGATGTACTTTAACAATCTCTAGAGTAATTGCACTCAGAATACTTCTTTTATACTAAAATGGAGCGAGTTATATTCTGCACTATGCTCGAACCCTACATGCATGCACCTAATTTGGAAATGCTAGGCATTTTAATTATTTCTAATTTCGATAAATGCGAATAGACGTAAAGTATACATTTTAAATAATTTTTTTACAATTTGAATCGAAATGTAGCAGTAATTTTGGCATGGAACGTACATTCAAGTTCCCAGTCTCCTATATAGTCAAGATTCTATAAGTACACAGTTTGCATTACAATATTAAGTTCAAGTCTAAAGCTCCTACATAATTTGCCCGGCATATTATGTCACGTGACACAGTGCAATGCGTACTTCGACACGTCCACTCACATTTAATTCACGCTACTCCGTACAAAATATCGAACAAAATACATATAATTTATTGTAAAATAATTGTTATGTATTTCAGAGTAAACGTCTTTACATGGTAAACAATAATTATTTAGGTAACGATTAAAATTATAAAAAAATGAATGGTTCCTGCAATGATCCTTCTTCATCATTTCATAGAATGATTGTTCATTAGCTAACTAATGAACAATACTAAACAATTCATAGGAAAGCATTGGTTACAAGATTTCCCCCTTATGCCCTTCATGTATCTATTTGTTGAGGAAAATTGCATCCTGTATAGGTCGTTGGGCAGAGTTTTTAAAGCTCGGCAAAATGTTGGCAACATGAACTACCGAAGCGTTCGTGGCCGTTCATAAAAGATGACATATCAGGTTGGCTGCCGACATCTTTATATACTGCAAA